AACAACAACAACAACAACAACAACAACAACAACAACAACAACAACAACAACAACAACAACAACAACAACAACAACAACAACAACAACAACAACAAGAACAACGTACGAGATGGTTTCGCCGGCAAAGTCCACCTGCTTGGTGATGGTCACTGTCTTGGAGCTGCTGTCGGCGCTCGCCTTTGTGGTCTTGGCTTGCTTCGCCTTCGGCGGGCCACTCGACTCTGGTGGCAAACGAAAGGGAACCACACCCTTCTTCTTTGTGGCTGCTGGCCGCTGCAGGCTCGCAAGGCTGAACCCGCCAGCACTGCCTACAGCAACGTTGCTGCTGCTGGTGGTGCTCTTGCTGGGTGCTGTTGCTGCTGTTGACGCTGGCTGTGCTGAAGTCTTGCGGCTGGTGGAAGGATGCTCGCCAAGCTCGCGAAGAAAGAGGTCATCAAGGTCGTCGCTCGTCTTCTCAGGAGCGGCTGTGTCTTTGCCGCTTGCTGCGTCATGGCCGCCGCCACTCGCCCGTGCAGCCTGTCGTCGCGACACAAAGGTCCCAGACCTAACAGCGAGCGTGAACACAAACAAGGATGAGCAAGCAACCATGAGGTGCAACGTAAGGTGGCAGCAACGGTGGGCTGATGTGATGCGAGATGGCAAGTGACAATGACATGTGCCCGTGAGGGCTCAACAATGCACAGCCGTCTGGAATTGAGGAGCTCTGTCGTTGCATGTTGTCTGTCGTGCTGCACTCACTCTGTTTGCTTCTTGCTGCTCTTCTTCTGCTTCTGTGCCTTGCTCTCTTCGTCCTGCGGCACGTAGTCCTCGTCCTCCGACGACCGGTACCCGTCCTCCTCCTCCATGGTTGTTGTTCGTGTCGTGTTGTTGGTGGTGGTGGGTTTTGGTGGTGGGTTTTGGTGGTGGGTTTTGGCGCGCTGCAGCACTTGCGCGACTTTCTTGTTCCACTTGTTTTGGTGTTGGAGCTTTGCTTTGTTTATTGTTGTTCATCAAATCATGCCATTGGCGCGTGTGTGGCGTGGTCATCATGAGTGCACTTCCTTCATTCATGTCACATCACATCATGTCACTCGTTAGTTCGCTCGCTCGCTCGCTTACTTGCTTGCGCTTGTGCTCCCTCCCTCACCCCCTTCCCCACCCCGCGCTCACCCAACAACAGGGATGACATCACGATACAACACAGCATACAGCTCAGGCCGTGGATTCCTTGCCTGCGTCGTCGCCGTCGTCCGCGTCCTCGTCCTCGTCGTGCACGGCCAGCACCACATTCGCTGGGCGAGGTGGGACCGGCGCCTGCGCAGCCACGCCCTTCCCTTCTGCACCAGCCTCCCCTCTCCCCTGCACATCTTCTGCTCCACTCTCTTCCTCCTCTTCCTCTTCTTCTTCTTCTTCTTCATCCTCTTCCAGCATGGCAGACGACATGAGTGCACTGGCCTTCTCCCGCCCGGCCGCAACTGGTGTGGACCGCACTGACGGCCCTTCCATCGGCGTCACCTTGCGCCTCAGCCGCCGCCGCGAGCCGCTGCTCCCCGTGCTGTCCTTCCGCTCACCGCTACCGCCATCACCACCGCCGTCACCACCAGTCACGTGGGCCAGCGGGCTTGGCGCAGCCTGGTTCCCGCGCACGGCACCGCCACCAACGCCACCAACGCCACCAACGCCAACGCCGCCCTTGCGGCCATTCGCTGCAGATGCTGCAGACTCGGTTTTACTGCTGCTGGCGCCGATGGTGCTCTTGCTGCCGCTGCTGCTGCTGCTGCTGGCGTTGCGTGCTGGCGTTGATCGTGCGCTCTTCTTCAGTGGCGGAGGCGACGACGACGACGCCGACGCCCCCGTGCGCGCTCCCCTGCCGGCCGCCTTCGCATCATCGGCAGCACCTCGCCGACCGCCGCCGCCGCGTGCACCCGTGCTGCCAACAGCTTCCACGGTGCCATCTTCGTTATCATCATTCCCATCACCATCGCCATCAGCCTCGGCACCGTTCTCCTCCTCCTCCTCCTCGTCGCTGTCGGAGAGCAGCAGCATGTGCAGCTGCACGTCAGACTCGTCCCACACGGGCTGGCACCCGCGCACCAGCCGCGCATGCCGCAGATGCACGTCGTAGCCAAGACGCGCGCTCTCCAGCGGGACCTCCAGTGCAAGCGACGACCACGATGCCGGCGACTCCGCAGCAGTGATTGTGCCCGGTGCGATGCTGCCCGTCACGCCCGCCACACCTGTTCCTGCTGCTCCTGCTGTTGGTTTGGTTGCTGCAGCCGATGCTGGTCCGCCTGCTGTTGCTGCTGTTCCCGGTGCCCCTGTTGCTGCTGTTGCTGATGATGACGTGGATGTGGAGGAGGTAGAGGGGCTCACCCCCATCCCGCTGCCGTCACCAACGCCAGCTGCTGTCCGCTGGCGTGGGCCGTGTATCGTGATTGCAGAGTCGCGCTTGCGCGGAGGAAAGTCGCTCACAGGCGCTGTCGAAAACACAATGGGTGCAATGCCGGCACTGAGGGATGCAGGCCCATCTAACGAACGTGACGCTGCCGCCGCCGCTGCTGTTGCTGCTGTTGCTGCTGCTGTCGTGCGTCGGCTCCTCCCCTGGCCGGCACCTGCTGCCAGATCACCACTGCCATACATTTCACTGGCTGGCCC